GATAATAATCCTTTAGGTGAGTGTGTATATATATATATATATATATATATATATATATATATATATATATATATATATATATATATATAGATAGATAGATAGTATTTAAATGTACAATACATACATTGCATAGCAAATAAATTCATGAAGTGAATGAACTACATGTTGCTCGCAATGCTCTCCATTAAAGAGAATTGTTGCATAAACACTCCTGAGTTTTGTGCAATGTAAGTAATGCAAGCTTGAAGTTGTTGAATGTATTTATAACCTTTATGGAACCTAACTATTATTTGCCTTTTCCAGGGTCTGTTTAAAGTGCTGCTGAATTTATGTCTAGAAATTATAAATTAATTGAAAATATGTTCCATATTAGTACTTCATTCTACTAACAGGGTATGTCGATGTAATCATAGTTTATCATTAGTATTCCAGATTAGTACTCACACGTCATCACTGCAATTCCCATCAGGAAGAGCACCGCAGCCACAAATAACCCCACATGCCGAAGGGAACTGTAATCTGAGCAAGATATAAATTGAAATATTTTTGATGTTTGTTAAAATACATAGGTTTAATCAAACAAGCAGCAGACTCATTAAAAATGAAACATTTTCAGTTAGGAATGCTCAAGGAATAAGTTACCATGAATAAAAGATCAAATTACCGTAAACAAAAGCTGCATCATGGTCGCCATCTGTGAAAAACAAGCTATACTTATATACATGTATTTAAAAATGTGCAACAAATAACAGAGAACAATAAGCATGCACCCCCGTGGCCCCCCCAAATACCTGTGCTATTTGGGTCTAAAGCAAATGTATTATTTTTATTACTATTATTTTTATTTATATAGGAGGGCTAAAATTTTGTGCGCTGGCTACTGGCAAAACACAAACATACATTTTCTAGATGGGACTCTAACATGGCTGTGCAAGGTGGTCGAGTCTCTTCAGTTGGTAAAAAGCGAAGTTGCCGGCACAAAAAAAACAAACTTCTGGAAGCAAGACAGTCTAAACAAGAAATAAGAGCGAGTTGCATATTTGTAAAAACTGCAATATGTGACTGCAAAGCACTGCATAAATAACATGGGGTTTCAATTGTCCTTTGCTTCTTAATGCTAGGAGGCCACAATCTGCCCCCCGGTTGAAATGGTTTAGAATGGCCACTGTTTGGGATTAAACTATTAATAGTACTATACAAATTAAATAGATTGGTACGGAGATGATCAGTATAAACTACATTACCCATAGCATACATGGGTGCTTTAGGCTTTTGCGCAATGTCCACTTAAACTAAATGCAGGATTTGATCTCTTTATTCATATGATATATAATGAAAAGCAAAATACAGTGTATTACCATTTAACTTTTACTGTACAAATTTTAAAAGTTGAGAAATTGCCATAAATAGACCACGAAGGAGTTGCAGCAGTACTTTATGCTTTCTATTTATATATTTTACTGAGCTATAGTATATACCACTTGGTACTGTACCCCAGTGACCTTACATAAGACAAGAGGGTATGGAAAATGAAGGGATGGACTTGGTACTGTCCAGGATTTAATCAAAAACATATTTAGCTATTAATTAAGTATAAGCCATCACCCACGTAATCAACAAAAAGTTGAGCTGAATTAAAAATAAGCATGTGCTGCCTTACCATTATTTGCTATGTTTGCTGTTTCATTCGTCATTTTTGCTTTAATGTTCATGGAAAAAAGAAAAACAACATTTACATTCATTTATTTAGCAGATGCTTTTTACCAAAGCAATGGACAAGTAAGAATGCAGGTTCAGCCAGTCCCTATAGCAGTTAGAATTATGAGCCTTGCACAGAGGCCCAACGGAAAAATCATCCTGCCGACCAGAGGACTTGAACTGACAATCTTCCGATCACAAGCACACAGTCCTGACCTGAGTCTCACACCAGCCTGAGTCATGGACCAACTGTAGTGTGATTTTATGCAATATGAAAGACTGCCCTTTAAAATGTGTCTGTTCAAGAGATCTTTTACCTGGCACAGTTAGCCCTGGTGGTGTTAGAATACTTTCAGTGTTCATTTCCTCAGGGGAAGTATTTAATTCTGTCCCAGATCCAGAATCCTTCTCATTTTCTTGGGAAAAAGATAAATGCAAAATGACATTATAAAACACTCTCATGTTGTAATATCATCATAAATCTAAAGGATTTTAAGTTCCAGATTTTATTCATGATAATACATTTTGTGTCTGGCTACCCCAGTACATTTATTTAAAATGAGACTGTACAAGAATGTTACCTCTGACATTAATTGCTTTAATCTTGAGAACAATAACAAGGATGAGATCAGATGTCATTACCTGTAAATGATGCAATGGTGATCCGTGTAGTTTGGTCAGACAAAGTAGGAGTTGAGGAACTGAAAGGTTCCATAACACAAGCTGTTAAGAACAAACAAAGCAATGAATAATCTTGGGCAATATTATTTATTGAACAAAATTCTAACATTTTCATTGCCTCCTATGTATTCCATCATTACATGTTTAACAGTTTAATCACGTTCTATATTTGCATATTTTCATGGCTGGATCTAGAAGTGGGAAAACTTCTGCTCTGCCCTCCGAATTGGTGTACGTTATTCTGCGCCATCATAATCTGCCGATCGCGTTTATATCTTTCATCATCAGAATGTCCTGATTTCCGATTTGCTGATTGGACAGAATAAATAACGGCGACGCCCCAACTGCGATACTCTGTGGAGCAAGATTGTGGGGAAAGATTATTACCTTATTCTTATTAAAGCTTATTCTTGTTAAAAATGATCTTTTGTTGTTGTAGTTTGTTGGATAAGGATAGTTGCTTGTGTTTTAGTTTATCAGATAGTTTATTAGACCCTCAATCTGCAGATTTGGTAACTGCGGTCTGTAAACGGCGGTTTACTACAACTCAAAAATATTAAGTGGAAAATCCAAAAATAAAGTTTTAATAAGCTTTAAATTCCACCTCATTCTGCCTAGCCTTTCCACCTCATCCTGCCTACATAATACAGCAGAACCTTGGAACTCGAACGCCTCGGACATCGAACAGGTCTGTTGATTTTTTTCGAGTTGTACCTCGACTGAAATCGTGAAAGTCAACCTTTCCTGCTAAACCTTGTATGGGGCGAGACGCATTCAAGTCTACCAATTCGGACCTCAAACAGGTCGGTGATAGCAGCAGTGATAGCAGCAAATTGAAGAGGAAAGAGTAGCTGCAGAACTTAAAAATTTAATTACAGCAAGACTTTGAAGTTGATGCACGTGTGTCTGTTCTCGCTTCGGAGTAAGAGATTGTAATTTACGTTTATTGTATGTCTGCTTTTTCCTGCCCGTATTAGTTTTATATCGATTGTCAATCCTTTTTATCATTAGCTAGGTAGATAAGTCTGAATAGGCAATCACTTGGGGGTCTGGAAGGGGTTAAATTCATTTAAAATATTTCTTATGGGGAAATTCGACTTGGAACTCAACCAAATCGCAACTTGATCAGCCTTCTGGAATCAGTTCATGTTCCAAGGTACCACTGCACAATTTAATGGTTTTATTATTAGTTATGGGTGTATTCATTCTAATGAAAAGGCCCATATTACTCTTCATCTAGTAAACGATACTTTCCGAATTTGCGCTTGCCCATTGAAATGAATGGAGCTGATTTCGCTGCTGAGTTGTAGGCCTTACCTAGTTGGACAGACTGACATCGTTTGTCTCAGTGCACCTTACGGATCACATGCAATTCCATCACAAAGTTGAAAAAAACTTTATTTATTATTCTTCCGTAAATTTCGGCAATTAATGCAGGTCGTAACGTAGTGTGCACCCAGGATCTATATATCAAAAGTTAGTCCTTGATGGTGTGAGGTGTGCTATTACTTTTCTTGGCATTTCGCGTTACCATGGCAACACTATTCACAATCAAACATACTACAAATCCCATAGGAATGTATTGAATTCTAACTTTTGCTATTGTTAGCCTATACCTAACTACTGGAACTTCTTATGGCATTGCCATTGAAAACCAGGTGAAGAGCAATATGGGCCTTTTCATTGAAATGAATAGGCCCATAATAAGTAGAAGCAAGGCTCCTCCCCAATCCACAAACACCACGACCCACATACACTTGAAACTACCTAGTACTTGAAACTACCTAAAATGTAGCAACCACATAGTAATGCCTAGCAACACCCTAGCAACCACATAGAAACCAGCTAGTAACACCCTAGCAATGCTTACTGACAGCTTAGCAACCATTTAGGAACATCCTAGCAACAACCTGGCAATGCCTAGCAACCAACTAGCAACACCATAGTCACGCCTACCAGAAACCTAGCAACCACCTAGCAACGCCTATCAACACCATAGCAAACACCTAGCAACACCCTAGCAACCACTTAGCAACACCTAGCAACCCCCTACAAACACCCTAGCAACACCTACCGACACCCTAGCAACCACCTAGAAACCACCTAGCAGCACCCTAGCAACCACCTAGCAAAGCCTAGCAACCACCTAGCAACGCCTATCAGCCACCTAGCAACCAGCTACTGAAACGCTAGCAACGTCTTCCAACACCCTTCCAAACACCTAGCAACACCCTAGCAACTAGCTAGCAATGCCTATCAATCACCTAGCTACCAACACCCTAGCAACCAGCTACTAACACCCTAGCAATACCTTCCAACACCCTAGCAACCACCTAGCAACACACTAGCAACGCCAACCGACACCCTAGCAACCACCTAGCAATGCCTAGCAACCACCTAGAAACACCCTAGCAAGGCCTAGCAACACCCTAGGAACACCTACCAACACCCTAGCAACCACATAGCAACCACCTAGCAACACCATACAAACCGCTTTATTAGGAATACCAGCACAGACCAGCCACTTCAATAGGAAAACCAGTTCTTCCTGGGTCAGCAGAATAGGCCCATCTCAAAATTTCTTCAGGAATTTTCGTTCTAGTTATTGTTGATGTTGTCTTACCGTGTGTAATTTATAAATGGAACTTTATTATGGGTATGTATGTACACGAAAAGCACGTTATTTATAGTGTTCGCTACTATCCTTGGATTCGGCAATCCTAGATAGGTTTTGGAACATATCCCCTGTGGGTATGGGGGCACGACTATAACATTTGACAGTTTGCTAATGTTGATGGCAGCACCATGGGACGTGTCCCCCTCACATTTCATAAATATTCGTTTGGACCCCCCCTCCATACCCCCCCCCCCACATTTAACATAAAATATTATGTTTCTATTGCTTCATGAAAGAATCCATTCCACTTCATCGATATGAGAATACACATACTGATCGAATTTTCCCCATAAGAAATAATGGAAAACCAATTAATTGGTTCCCGGCCCCAAAAAGTTACACCTAAATATGTTTTTTTAGAATTTAAACAAAAAATGAACCGAAAAGTTGAGACCATTCTTTTTAAAAAAACAAATCTGCATTTTTAAATTCTGGTTTAATTATAGTTCTGCTGGCAGAAACCTATGCTGAGCAGCAGGTTGCTTCCAGGTCAAAATTTAAGACAGCAGTACACAAGAATAAGGTGAAGCAGGAGACAGTGTGAACACCCAGAAACCAGCCAGGTAAAGGGCAGAAGCAACTTTCTAATGGCAGAGATGACTGTTAACTAATCCAGTAGTTTCTTATGAATCATAGGATGACATCAAGTGACCTTCAAATGGAATGAGAAACATTAAGTGCAGGTGTGAAGTGCACTGCTAGGACAGTTCATATCAGACTCCTAGAAGCAGGACTGAAGTGTTGCCATAAAGCAAGGAAGAGACCCTTCATTAATGGGAAACAAGGAAGAGTAAGGCTGCAATTTGCAAAAAAATTAATATATTATTCACAGATGCATACCTATAAATTGAGAAATGAGTGAAACAAAATATTGTGCTGTGGTCTCTTAATTTTTTCCACAGCTGTGAGTGTGTGTGTGTATATATATATATATATTTATACACACACACACACACACACACAATCATATATAATAGACCTCTCCTTAATTTTAAATAAGCAGTTTGTAAATACAGTGGTACCTCAGAACTCGAATTTAATCCGTTCAGAACTCCGGATCGAATCCTAAAAAGTTCGAGTTGTGATCGAATGTGTAAAGTTAAAAAAAACAATGTGTCCTGCCCTGATCGTCCCCACTCGGCACGACAATATTATTATAATTAAATGTATTTATGGTTTATTATTTTATGATATTAAAATAATTAATTAGAAATCTTTATTTTTATATGTATTTTATTATTAAATAATTATTACTGATCATTGTCTAAATGTATTTTTACTGTCTAAATATACTGTATGTATTCAGCTAGTATAAACATGCACGATGCTCTCACAGCGAATGCGAGGCTGAGACTGAAGCGTTACCCTTTGTTTCTGATGAGAGACGAGCCGCGGGACTCATTTCCCCGCGTGTACAAGTTATCTTAGGTCGGCGTTCACGGTTTGACTTCTGACATTCAGATTGAGTTCTGGTTGGTTCGACTTTTAAGAAATTCGAGTTCTGATGAGTTCGAGAACTGAGGTACCACTGTAATTATATTATGCAATACATTACGTTATACACTGCATTTTTTTTCAAACACAATACATATAATGCATGACCAAACGGTAAAACAGGGTGGACACACATTACTTCTCTTTCCTTCTGGGATCAATAAAGTGCATCTTATAAAGTGCATCAATAAACTACATATATACAGTCTCAAAATACCTCCCAGAACAGACTATGGCTGGAAAATATATCACTTTAGTGAAAAGCTATAGGCTTTTCCATAGTTAAATGGAAAAAGAAGAATGATTATGCATGACTCACCCACAAACATCATCGACAAACATAAATAAAGTCTCAACTGTATCTGAAAAAGGGTCAACAGAGAAAAATGAACAAACAAAATCGTACAGTCCAAGTTTAGGTTCAGAATAAACAATTGCTCAATATTTTTTTTTTATGTTATATAATTTTATGTTATATAATTTTATATTTTACTCTTACAATAGATGACATGGATGCAAATCAGATAACCACAAAATATTTTCCAGTCATGTTTTAATCGTATGATACCATAACATAATACTGCAAAACCTAACAAGCCCACATTGTTTAACATGGATTTGTAATTCTTCATCACAAATTCCCACTTTGGTACATGATTCGCTCATTAATCAGTATTATTCCTTGATCTCTGAGCATATGGCAAGCGCCATTTGCAATTCATGAGGCCTGCTGGGTCCTTCTACTTACTCCTCCTGAATTATCCCATAGCTTCTTCTAACCCATGGACTCTAAGGGCCTCTCATACATTGTACACTGTGGGTCAGTCCGTATGAGAGCCCTCTTACCTTGACCCTCATCCTGAATCTCATTCCCAGCCGTTGGTCTGCAGCAGTACTTCAGCTCCCAGCACTTCTGTCAGTCATGTGCATTGTAAGCGTGTGGCTTCCTTACTTCCTGTCTGCTTCAACAGTGCTTATTGGTGCACCCCCCCTCCCTTCGACTTTGGTTTTTTTCTCTCTTCCGCCTTTAGCTAACTCTTCCTCCTAGCACACAACCGGAATACAAGACACAACTTCAGTGCAAAATCAATAATTACAGGGCTGCAAGTTTTATTACATATTACCTTGTTTAAATATGTATCCCATATACATATGCATATATTAAACATCTTTAAGAATAACAAAACATTTTTTGTGATTTAAGTTCAGCACAATAATGGTTCCATTGTATTTCTCTCATATAAAAGAGCCATTGAATTCACACTGAGCAGAAAACAAAATGCAAGCCAATTGTAAGCATATTAACCCACTGAATCAGTCTTCTTCAGGATGCCGCACAATGCTTGGTATCCAAGGCAGGAGCTGTGTCATGCACCACCAAGAAAGCATCAAAATGGAAAGCACCTGTTTTGAAAGAACAGAAGGAAATTGTGGTAAGAAAATGACCAAGAATGGCGTGCTTGCATAAAATCCGCTAAGATCATATTTCATTTACGTGGCTCAAAGTGCAGCAGCTTTAAGCAACCCACACATGATGGGCCTGGTTCTAGTGTGCCACAATGGACAATGTGTTATATTCACAAACTTAAACAGAAGCACCAGTCTCTTCAACATAAGCAGAGGTGGACTGGGCCAGCTTAGCCCAGGCCATGTTTATACTGAACTTGTTTAACTCCAATTATCTCCAACAAGTGCTTCAGCAAACCCACATGTGTCTGTGCTCTTTCATGGCTTTGTGAAATGTTTTTGCCTGGATCACAAGATGTGCCTGCTCAATTTATGATGGGCCCTGAAATATTTCCCACTATATATGTAGTATGTTACATGTAAATTATGCCACATTGTCTGAATTTTTTATTGGAATGCCCTAGTAATGTTATATCAAACTGGCAGCATATTAACATGGCACAAATATGAATACATAAGAATTTTTACTTTATCATAATCTATTGTTATTGTAACTGTAGAGCAGTTGTTCTCCCATCCGGAGCATTTCTCCACTCTGCTATAGCCATTTGCCTGGAAACTAGAATTGGTTACCTTGGTTTTTTTTTTGGACACCATGGTTCATGCATGCAAACAAATCTATAACCCAACAGGTACCTTTTATAGTGTTTATATATATATATATATATATATATATATATATACACTCACCTAAAGGATTATTAGGAACACCTGTTCAATTTCTCATTAATGCAATTATCTAATCAACCAATCACATGGCA